GGTACCTCTCATTGTCCTATGGAGCCACTAGGCAGAAAGCTCCTGCAAGAAGTTGTTCCACATGGATTGCTCCCCTATGACTACACCTATGGGGCTGGACTGTGATTTAGGAAGGGTCCCCTACATTAGTACAGCACACAGAGAATCACAGAAGGGTTTGGGTTGGAAGGGACCTTAAAGATCATCTAGTTCCAACCACCCTGCCATGGGCAAGGACACCTTCCAGTAGATAAGGTTGCTCATCTACCATTCAGGCAGAATGGACTCAAAACTTGGAGATAAGAGGGATCAGAAACCTGGGCTAGAGACTGCCACCTCACAGTGGCACACAGCTTCCACAGCTCCAGCTGCACAATGCGGTTCGGCAGCAGCGCAAAGCTTTCTGCACCCCTTGGAGCTTCTCATCCACGTCAGGAACCGGCTGCAATCCAACAAGCGGTACTTCAAAAGGTGGCCCGTTGGCTTATCTAAGCTCAAAGTACAGCCAGCTTAGCTGGTAAGCTAGGTGAGAGGTCCCCAAAAGAGACTTTTTTTTCCTGCAGCACAGCTCTTTAAAAAGGAACGGTAGTGCTGCTAGCCCTGCTGAAGCATGCAGGGAGGAGGAAAAGCAGCATGCCAGCAAACGCAGCATATCCCAACCTCCTCCCGGTTTCATGTCTTCTTGCTCAGCGAGGAGTCAGCTGCATGGCCCGACCACACCAGTGATAACTGCAAGAGGACTTCCCACCGTCTCTGGGGAACGTGCCAGAGCAGAGGTAGTTTATATCCACTTACCCATCCCAAACTCGCCTCTGCTTGCCCACGTGTCAGCTCTCTTTGCTCATAAAATAAGGCCAGCTGGACACTTCTCTACCTGAACAACTGTGACAGCAGATCCCTATCTGTGTACAAACAAACAAGCTGACAGGACAAGTGTCTTGCTGCACTGAAAAGTCAGGAGCAGAGTGACAAGCCTCAAAGTTTTATTTTTAATGAGAGATTAAGGCCAAGTCAGGAAACTGTTCGCATTGCCTGGCTGGTGAGGTGAGAAGCTGGTTACAGTCTCTCTGAAGCAGGATGCAGTGAGTTTTAAATACCACACCAAATCAACGTGGCTTGG